TTAATAGCACTTTTAATTTAAATTTTGATTTAAATTTTGTTTTGACCCCTAATCTTTAAAAGGTTCTAATTAAATTCCCAATTGCCCAAAGTTTTTGATCCTTTCATCTATGAAATCGACTAAATTGAGTTAAATGTCAACTGGCACCATATGACGATGTTTGCTAGGATTCACATGGCAAGGAGGGACCAAAATAGAATCCTTTCAAAATTTAGGGACCAAGGACAAAACTATCCCAAAGTTTTATATATTTCATACATATCTTATAAAAATATTAAACTTAAAATTATATTTTTATATTTTTGTTGTAATATATTAGTTAGATTTTTCTTTTAAATAAAAAATAGATATTCAAAACTTAAAATTAAGTTAAAATTTTCAAATTCTTTTTTTTTTTAAATTCAATACATTTTAAAAACAAAAAAAATTATTTTCTACTAAAAATATTATATAACTCATAAATCATAATAAAAAATATTATTTTCTATCTAAAAAATTTTATTTTTTTAAAGTATTAAATATCTTTATTTTTCTTTTTAAAATATATTTTACAAAATCTTTTTATAAAAAAGAAAAAATAAAATGTTTTAATTATATTTTTATTTTATATAAATATAGAGTTTTTAATAAAAAAAATAGACTCAAATTAGATTTTGAATAGAAAATAAATTTTTGAATAGATTAATAAATCTATTTTTCAAAATGATATAGAAAGTTTTACATAATATTTTAAAATGATATGGAGTTTTATTTAATTTTTTAAATGAATAAATTTTTTAAATTTTTTAAAATGATATTTAATCTTAAAAAGATTATTTTGAAAATCTTAGCTTAATTTTAATTTCTTAAAAATATATTTTCTATTAAAAATATTATTTTATTAATAAATCATATCATAATAAAAATTAAAATATTTAATAAAATATATTTGAAATATAAAAATCAATTTTTTTCTTTAATTATTTTATCTTTTTATAAAATATATTTGAAAAATGAAAAAAGATATTTAATATTTAAGAAAATATATATTTATTGGATTGAAAAAGATATTTTTATAATGATTTATGAGTAAAATAATATTTTTAATAAAAAATAATTTTTTGTTTTGAAAATTATATTGAATTTAAAAAAAGAATTTAAAATTTCAACTAAATTTTTATTTTTAAAAATATATTTTCAATTAAAAACAAAAAATATAGCTAATATATTATATTGCAACAGAAAAAAAAAAGAAAACATAGCATAGAGTAGCGGGGGATTAATAAAAGTTGTAGGAATGGACGATGTGTTTTGAAGGATGAGATATTTGTTTTGTTACGTATCAGATGATTCCAACCAGATTTTTTTTATGTAAAGTTGTAAAAGTTTAAATTCTAATCTTTAAAATTAAAAATTTAACGTTTTATCAAATAATTCACGCAATTATTAATAGAGTTCAAAAGGGTTGATGTGTCAAGGTTTTTTTTCACTAACTGTTATCTTAAATTGTTAACATATGCATGATTAATTACCATTATGTAAGCATAAACATGAATATATTATATATATATATATTATATAGTCATTCTAGTACATAAATTGTCTCTTTTTTTTCATCCAAATACTTTAAATTAGAGTCTCGAATTTTAATGATAGAGTTTTCTCTTTTATAATATATATATATATATATATATGATTATTAGCAAGTAAATTTTGTCAACCAAAGTTACATTTAAATTTAACAATTCATATATTCATGTCTTTTTATATTAAACACAAAATATTAAAGTTATTGTGTCATAATTCATATCTATACATCAAACGTGAAATAAATTTTTTTATTTTTATCAAATTTATATAAAATTACTAAAATTTTAAAATATATAATTTTTATATTTTTTTTCATATTATGTCATCATGGCATGTTTAAAGTTGCAACTTTAGATACATCCCATCCTATTAAATGTTAAGGGCTTCAAAGAACATCTGAAGGTGTTGTTACATTTTGCAAGTTGTTAATGGGGAAATGTTAGAAAAAATCACGAGATTAAGAACACCAAACAATACAAACCAGATGTGATTTTCTTATAATCTTCTAGTAACCATTTTGTAGTGCAATGGAAGCTTTAATCATGAATGGAAATGGTTGTAAGCAATTACCACTTTTCTTAAGATTTATTTCATCCTCACCAATTATAACATGTAAGAGAGGTTGAATCAAATAACCTCCAAGATACAATAAAGCCCAAGTTTGGTTTATTTTCACTAGAAAAACAAAATCACTAAACACTCTTTAGTGAGAAACGAAAATGCCTTATCTTCAACAAAGTTTCCTACAACAAACGTACTAAAACAACTAGTCTTCTAACAGAAAGTTGGGAGAAAGAAAAGTGTAATTTTGAATTGAATTATATTTCAAATGAACACGCTTCAATCTCTATTTGTAGAGATTCCTTATGGGTTTTTTGTTTTCATGATGAATGTGTTATTCTTTGTTTTTAATTGGTATTTAAAGAAAAATTTTGCATGTTCAAAGTTTGATTTTTCTTTTTTCTTCTGTTTTTGTTTGCCGCATATTTAAAGCTGAATTTTGTGGAAGGAGCAATCATGGTATCTGTGTTTTCTTCATTGTTGTTTTGGATAGTCGAGGGAAATTTATAACTATGTCATTAACTAGAGCGATTGATTATTTTTAGGTTTTTTTTTTTTTTTTTCTCTTCTAAAGTATTAAACTTTTTTAGAATTTAAGAAATGCATAAAACTTATTCATCTTGAAAGATGATTTTGCTTTTTCTGAAATGGAGTTGATGGTTTGGCTTTGGTTTATGTCAATTTTTGTTGTGGAGACTTAAGGGTAATTGATGACACCCATCAGTAACTAGGGGTTTTAGCAGTGTCAACCTGTTCAAAGTGGAAATATACGGGCTCTTATGAAATTATTTTGGATCAGTTGATATTTTGTGGATCTGCTGTAAATTGATGGCACTTGGGATATGATCAATGCAAAGCTGTATATGGTTCAGTTCAATTTCTTCTATTTCCTGTTTTACTGAATTTGCCTTGAGTTATGCCAGGAATACAAATTGGGAAAATCAGAATTTGGTTGCTAAATTTGATCAGTTGACCGCTGTAAAACTTGCAGCTTGTGGATTTATCCAGTAATTGAATTTGCCATCATTTAGAATTTTTTTTATGTTGGCATGTTAAAACTCTGGAAATGTTTGTTGTTAATGCTATAACATGTCGAGTATTGGAGAATGAATGTTAGGTGTTGATTGTTATCTTTGGGAAATGATTTTCAGTCTTAGAATATTAAGCCAGTTTGTTGTTTGCCAGTTTCGTTTTGTATGTTCTCATCCTATCATCTTTTTAGAAAATTCCTGTTTCTTCTCTGATAAAGCAATTAAATCACTTGAACGTTGGCATTGGGCAATCTTTGCTAAGTTAATCAGGAAGACTAGCATGGCATTATTAAGAGAAGTTGGAAACTCTACTTATAAATTTGTTGTCTAGTGAATGTTTTACAGGCTGATAGTCTCTTTTGTTGCCATCTGTGCAACCTTTCAAATGAAAGATGGCCCTTCTTTTTAGTCGTATATTTGTTTGGCTGACAGGTTTATTAAGAAAATTAATTGTAATTAACCTGAAACATGGTTTTTTTTTGTTTTTTGTTGAGTAGCTTCTTTTTTGAAATTTCACTTGGAATATTGAATGTGTTTATCCTTGATGTTTGTTTATCTAGTTAAATTTTCAGGATTAAAAGTGACGTAGACGGTATGGGCCTTCGTTTTTTTCCTCACTTGAACTCAATCAATTGTCTCTGAGGTGTGATCAAATCCAGTTTATTCAAAACAAATTGTAACCATACCTTTGACAAAACTCATAAAAGTGTAGTGTAGTGCAGTCAAATAAATCTGAAAAGCATAGGATTTCGCCGTCCCTTTCCTTTTCCCACCTTGTTCTTGCATGGTTTTCGCCACTGTTAAGTATCTGGTGGGAGCAACATGATGTACTGATTTGATTACTGCTTTCTAGTTTTTCTAGATTCTTTTGTTTTTTCTGTGTTTGATGTACAAGTAACTCTCTTGCAGTAAGCCAACAATCGTGGATGAAATTTTAAAAATAGATATCAAGCCTGGCTGGAAGTAGGGCACAAAAGTTACTTTTCCTGAGAAAGGAAACCATGAACCTGGTGTCACTCCAGCTGAATCTTATCTTTGTGATAGATGAGAAACCCCATGCTATTTTCAAGAGGAAAGGGAATGATCTTGTTGTCAATCAGAAAGTCTCTCTTCTTGAGGCCTTGACTGCTATTTCCCTCTGTTTGACATCCTTGGATATCTCATTATCCCGGTCATAGATATTGTGAAGCCAGGTCAGGTGGTGCTGATCCCAAATGAAGGGATGCCAATCTCCTAAGAACCTAGCAAGAAGGGGCACCTTAAAATGAAATTTGAGATCATCTTTCCTCCAAGGCTGAATGCAGAGTAGAAGTCTGATCTGAAGATGGCGTTGGGTGGAGCTGATAAATAGTCAAATACTCCATCCCTGAGGTCTCAACCATCTATTAACACTGATTGCTATTGATTATAAACTAAATGTAAATAGGTTTAATTTTAATTCTCAACTACTAGACAGGCAAGATTGTGCATAGTAGGAAACGAGTTTGAAGGGTTGCAAGCAGTGCTTGATAGCCTGCCCTATCTGCCACTATTTTCTAAATGAAAATTTTAATACTTTTGCATTTAGTGGCAGATGGATATGCGGTGGAAGACCTTTTGTGCTACTATATATAAATAAATAAATTTATTTATTTATTTATTGGAAATGACTAATTTTAATGTATTGACTTGTTTCAAGTGTAACCATTAGAGTAAAGGTGACAAAAGCTAACGCGACCTGAAAAGCAAGCTCTAGTTCAACCTAAATCCGATGACTCATTCGACTAAAAATGTCCAAAGTGAAAGTGTAATTGCTCTATCATAATAGTAAGTTTCTATTGCATTAACGCTTTTTTTTACAGCAAAAGTGAATCACCCTTCATCGGGTTTATTATACCGGCAATACATTACAGCAACCTTACTTATCTGTGGCCTAATGATGAGTACGACCAACAGTTTTGTGTTGCCATTTTTATTTTATCTTCCCTTTGTTATCCTCTTATGCAAAAGGAATATAGTTCCAGGGTCCTTCTCTCCCCCACAAACACAGTTAACGCATTCACCATTCAGAATTATAATAATCAGATCCTGTGTTTCTCAATCATCTTCTGCAGTTCAGCCTTTCTAGCCCCCACTATCCTGCCTACTTCTTTCCCTTTCTTAATAAGAACGAATGTTGGCATCGCATCGACCTTGAATTCCCGAGCCACATCCTGTTTATTTCCATTTTTATATATACATATATATATATATATATGTTCATTAGAATCATGATCAAATGTAATGTACTTGTAAAAACCGTACTGCAAAAGAAGACCAAAAGAAGAAAGAAGGTTACCGCCAACATATCAACATCAATCTTGATGAACTGAACATCTTTATATATAGTTGCATACTCTTCAATCGTCGGTTCCATCGATTTGCAAGGTCCGCACCATGTCGCCGAGAAATCAATGACCAACTTTCAGCACCAAAGAGGAGAAGTAAATCAGTCAACATTAGCTAGCTAGCCACAACCATTAATTACCAGCTTCATAAAAAACAAGTACTGCTGCAAAAGAAAAGTTGCAAGGAAGGGAAGTTGGCAGTTGTATTATTACCAGCTTGTTACTTTGTTTGGAGGCCTCAAGCTGGGCTGTCCACTGGCTCGTCGACTGCATTTCAACAATTTTGTGAGTGGAAGCTTTAGCTCCCATTCTTGTTTTCTTCTTATGAACCTAGGTTGAAATTAGAGAAAAACTTTCTAGTAGCTTGATCTATAGGAAGGAGGGGCTTTAGATTGGATTTTTAGGATGCAGGGACGGCCTTTATATAGGTGGATGGAATTTAATTTTGATACAAATGATATTGGACTGCATAATAAGAATTAATTCATTTTCATCGTGTTATACCCACTCAATCAAGAGGGTTAATCTTATACTCGCCAAGTCAGTATGCACCCCACTACCACTTTATTACTTGAAAGGATCGACATTCAGATTCTTTGCTACAAAACGAGATTGTCCTCACTTGGGGAAGACTCGTCCACCTACTTCTATTAATGTCTAATCAAGACATCATCTCACAATAAATTAAATAGATTTCAACTTGTCTTAAATCATTAAATACAATCCACATTGACTTAAGATTATTAAATGGCGTCCACACTTACCCATGTAACTCTTATTCGAACTTCACATAGACATATTATTAACTGTAAACAAACTTAATCGCATTATCACCCTAAAAAGGTTCAGGTACAATAAGAACTTTGAATTCTTCTCCTTTAAACTTCTTCAAGCATTTTCTACAATTCACTTTCATTTTAGACAAAATCCTAAATGCTTAGATTGATTTAAGTGTTGGAACAAAAAAACCAATTCCACTACTCTTTGATCGCACTTTCTTGCTCCAAGTGCAAGTCATCACTACATGAGATTAGGTTTTTAGTGGTGATTTTTTTCACATTTAGAGGCATTTATAAACATCACTAAAAGATTAGCGGTGTTTGCCAAAAATGTTGCTAAGAGTGTTAGCTATACTTGTATTAGGAAAAATAGCGGTATTTTTAAAAAAAACGTCGTTAACTTAACGACATTTTTATCATAAAACAAAGCTAAATTTAACGACGTTTATAGTGAAAAACACCACTAAATTTAGTAGGGTTCATAGCAGAAAGCGCCGTTATATTTTGACATTTAACAGCGTTTTTAGGCACAAACGTCGCTAAATTAATAAATTTATTTTTATAAAATTTTTTTAATACTGATTATTATCATTAAATAAAAATATTAAAAGAAATAAAAATAAATTTAAATTCATAAACTAAATATTATAAATATATAATTTGTTCCAATATGGATGGAACACAAAGTTTAATATATGCAATAATATTCAAATTATTTTAGTACATTAAGCAAACATCTAAAATGTATGAAATTGATGACTGCATAGATTTGAAACACTACCATTTGATGAAAGATTTTTTTCACTTTGGTCACTAGCGTGCTCAAGAACCTATTGACTTAATCTTGACTTTTGCATTTATCAATTTAGTGCTTGCTACATTATTAGACCAAAATTATATAGTTAAATTAGATGAAAATGAATTGTAATATACTTAATTATACTAAGTATTAAATAAAAAATAATAACAAGATGATATTAGAGATAACCTATTACAATGCAAAAAAAACAAACCTATTAAGTGTCATGCATTGATATTCTGTTTTTTAAAAAATGCAAAAAAGAACAGAGATAATATCAACAAAAAAAATTATACAAATTTTAATTGAATATTCATACATATAGAAACCTACAGTGTAACAGAGGATGATTAAGTATGTGACAAATCCTTTACCTTGTAGTATTCACAAATGATTATAGATGTCTTTTTTTAGTTCTCTATCTTCTGTTGTTGATGGTTTTCATGCATAACGAATTCTTTTAAGCAAGAGTAAGTCATTTCATCGAACACCATAATCTAAAAAAATAAACAAAATAAATGCCAAGATGAGATGGAAAAAAAACATAATAGCCTATTTTAGAATGGTTTCCTAAGGATATCTTGAATGAATAAGCAAATTCATGTTAACAAGCAACAATTTTTTAGTAATTTCAAAAATATTCTATTAAAAAAAATTAAACCTAAAATTTCATTCATTTTTGTAACTAAATTTAACATTCAATTTTAAGTTTTTCAAAGAAAAACTCTATTATTTTCACTTTCTGTTTTATCTTGAATTTTTCTCACCAACCAAATAAAATCAAACTCATAACTACAATAATGAAATAAATTGGTAAAAAAAGAAAAAGAATGTTCAAACACTAAAATTGCCAATGTTGAAATGAAGCTTACTAATGGAGCTTGAATGATAGCAAAAACGCAACAAATCAGACAAAAAATTTAGAGATTTGGCCTAAAATGCAAGAAAACTAGCTTGAAATTTGTAAAAACGAAAGGAAAGAGGATGAAAATTGACTATAAAATAACTTAAACTTAGGTAAAAAATGAAAAAAAAAAGCGACCCAAAATGAATAGAAATGAAAGAAATGAATAGGGGAAAGAAAAATAGAAAATGGCGTCTTGTGAGTTTGAAATTTAGCAGCAAGAAAGTGTGATTATTCAAGGTGTTTTTGGTCAAAAACACCTTCAGTAATCCATTCCAAATTTTTTTTTGGGATTACTTAAAGGTATTTTTAGTCAAAAAACACCTTGAATTATCCTTTACAAAAATTGAATAGGGTTATTCAAGGCGTTTTTGGCCAAAAATGCTTTGAATAATCCCCTCTAATATTTTTGGAGATTATTTAAGGCATTTTTTCTTAGAAACGTCTTTAATAACCCCCAAAAACATTTTGAATAATCCCTTTATAAAAATTAAAGGAGATTATTCTATACGTTTTTTGTTAACAACGCATTCAATAACACCATTTAATTTTTTGTAAGAGATTATTGAAAGCATTTTTCATGTCAAGTGCCATACATAAACCAAATTTTTTACTAGCAGAAGCCTACAACTGACTTGTATTCACTTTCAGACATGCTTTTCAAAATGATAACGGCTATTTCATAATTTTTTAGTCAGATCAAATTTCAAAATACTGCTGCTTTTCCCCTTGGAATCCTAGAATACTATAGGGAGATGTGGGTTTTTTATTCCGAGACTTTCGGTGCTGTTGAAAATCTATTAGTTTTCTTCGGAATTAGACTACCTTGAACCAAATGTTAGAATCAAATACTCAATAGTAAGATTCTAGAGGAAAATGTTTGGATTCCCTCAAACCAAGTGCTCCTTTAATTTTTTTTTAGTTTGTAGATTTGTTTTTAACAGCATTTACGTAAATGCCGTGAAATTTATAAAAGCAAAATATATAGTGACGTTTAAGTCAACAAACGCTATAAAAATATATTTTTAGTGACATTTTAAAATCCAAATGCTGCTATATAAAAATTTAGTGGCGTTTTATAAAAAAAACGCCGCTAACCTTATAAAAATACAAAATTTTATAGTGTTTGTTTAAAAACACCGTTAAAAAATAGTCACTAAATTTTCATTTTCATGTAATGCATCTTTAATACTACTTCCAGAGCACTATCCAGCTCACCAACACCTCAGAAGACCATCAACACGCCCATGAATTCTATTTATTCGTTTCATAATTCTAAGATCGTTTGAAATAATCTGGAAATATTTGATGCCTAAGAGCCTGGTTTGTAAACTAAAGGTGTGTCTACTCAAGCTCTCACGACCGCACATTCATGATAAAGCATCTCTTTTATTAAGATTGTTGATTAATATGTACCCAAAGAATTATATGCATTCTTATCGAGCATGATTAAATTTGCAAGCTAAATTTTTCAATTTCTTAATTTCTGGAATTAAAGTAATTAAAAATTAAGCCTCTTAAGGAAAAGGGTCTGGTAAAAGTTTGCCTGACTAGACGGTTCTAAAGTCAAGATTAGTACTTGAGAAAATTCAACAATTTACCACCAATGATTGAAATTAGAGATGCTAATCAGGATTTTGATGAAAGCTATTTTAAATTTAAATCATTTTGATTTTGAGTTGAAATTGTTTTGAATTTAAATTATTTTTAATTAAATTTTTTTAAAATTCAAGTTTGTTCGAGTTTGAACATAAAATAAAATAATCAATTAAAATTTTAATTTAAAAATTCTTAATTTTGATTTTTAATATTAAACTAAAGTCATTATAGATTTAGATTAGATTGGTCTCATGTTCAAATTATTTTAAATTTGATTTTTTTGACTAATTCAAGTTTGAACTGAGTTTAGATTTTTTTTTAATTTATTTATAGGTTCAAGGCTTTTTTTTGGCTGTAATTGAGGGAAAATGTTAAGATATCAGCAATATGAATTGGAGTTTTCCAAACCCCATTATTCCAATCTCATCCCCGTCCCTATTTTTGAGAGGAATTTTTCGTCGTGCGGGTTTATTTTTAAAAATAATATTTTTAAATATTTAATTAAAAATAAAAATGATAAAAATGAATATTAAATAATTAAATTTATGACAAGGAAAAGTTGAAATGAAAATCAGGACTTGATTTAAGAGATTAAAGAAATTGAAATAAAAATAAAAAAGAAATTGAAGATGACAGAAAATAGACATTGGATATTGATTATTTGAAATTTATCAAAATTATATCTAATTTATTTCTATGTTAGATATTTTTAAGGTGTCATTACATTTTAAAATTATATAGTATTTATATACATATATTAAAAGGGAGATGGGACAATATTCGCCGTGCCCACAATGAAATTCTATTTTCTCGTTTCCGTCCGATCCCTAATATTTATTCTTGGAATTCATGTTGGTGGAGATGGGGATCGAATCAAGTTTTTTTGTAAAGATTCGTGCGTAATTGACATCCCTTTACATCCAATACCTAAAATGAACCCATAACAAAGTATGATTTCCAAAGAGCAAATGATAAAAACTAGGAGATGCGTGACAAAATTTACTTGCGGCTGATAAAAGAGCATCCGAGTCCTTTTCTTTCCCTAGCTTGTTGTGGTGCAAATGGAAGGTCCATTTATTCATCGCCTGCCCATTTGCTTTGCAGATACAAAGTTATGACATAAAAACTACTTATCCCGGCAGGATTGATCAATTGCTGCAACTCTTTTTTTTCTTATTTTAATAATGTGCGGGTAAGGTGAAATCTAATTTACATGGCTGAAGATGGATTGGATATCAAAATTACTTCATATTTCAAGTCAGACTAAATTTGAACAAATCTGAAGTTTGTAAATATTCTAAATCCTACTCTGAATTCCATTCCACCTGACTAACCAACAGGAAATAATTAGAAAGAGTCTCACAAAAACAAAAAAAAAAAATTACTTGTCCATTTCGGCTATCCATTCTAGAATAACATAAAAAACAAAAATTACTTGTCCATGTTTGATTCAAACTCATTATTCGGTAGCATGGACGATTTACTTTAAACTTTTTTTCTTTTAAGATTTTTTTTTTCTCAAATGCTATGTTTTTATAATCATTTCCTTTGAAAAAAAAAAGAAAAAAAAAAGAAAGGTTTTGCCAAAGCAGCCTTTATCTTTTTGCATCCTTCTCTAAACCACTCTTAAAAAAAGAGAAAAAAGTTGTTTGTAATGTCAATGTTTTCTCCTAGTTGAACGAACTTGTTCGACAAGAAGCTGATGTTGATGTTCAACAGTTGAAGTCACCATCAACCATGGTGTCTGCCAATTGAATTGTAGTTCTGACATTCTGCTTCCACAAACTTTTATTTTTTTTTATTCATTTGAAGAAAAGTAAATTCGAAGCTTATGGAGTAAGAAAATATATGCACAAATTACTAAATCAAATTTCGAGAAGCTTTCTTTTGTGAATGAAATGGGCCATAAGCATCTCATTCCGTGATGAAGTAATTGACGAGCACAATGCCCATTGAGTCGTAATTATCAATTATTGTGGCAGAACCAACTCAAATTGACCTCAAAACACTTTGCTATTGATTTAGTTTCTAACAACTAGCAAATTAGTTATATATATTTTTTATAAGCTACACTTTAACCAGGTTAATGTTTTCTTTGAAGATGCATAGAATGGAAACTGTTTTATTATTAGTTGAAAGATTTAGAAACGAGAAACCAAACTCATTTAAAAACATGGGGAAAGAGTGGAAGGTTTTGATCTCAGATCATAATTCATAGCTTGCAGCCTTCCGCTTTTGCTTATCTCAAATTTGACAAGGTTCCAAGACATGCAGGCGGACAACTGCTGTTGCAATTGCAGGCAGCAGCTGTTGTTTAATCATCAAGAGATGCGTCTGGTAGAAACTGTTTAGATCTTTTTTATCTTTTGGGTGTTGGAGGGGGGAGAAACGATTTATACTTCATTTTCACTTATGTTCCAATGGCTTTTAGCTGGAAACATGCTACATCTTTGGAATATTAACCTGGCATGAGCATCGGAAAAAGACATTCCAAACATAGCTGTAGCAGCATCCCATTCTCGAAAACATGGTTATTGAGTAATCTAGGGATTGATCATCTTATTTCATCAACCCTATGATTCTTCACGTGCCAAGATAGTAATTAAACACGATGGCCACTTTTGATTAATCAACCAACCATGGTCGATGGATCAATAAATGGCCACAAGAATTGCGTGTTAAACCCAAAAAGATATAGATAGCTCTCTGCTTTTCAATGATTCCAATATAAGTCCTTAATTAACTGAACTACAAAAACAAGTTAAATGGGGTGTCCTGGATGGTATGATATAAACATCAACCCACATTCATACCATGTTTCATGCAAAGCAAAAAAGTACACCCACCTGGAAAAACAGACCCCATAGAAGCTGTCTAAAGCTATCATGAGGCCACACCACCATCACTCTAAAGCTGTCATGAGGCCACACCAACATCCGCTGAGACACCCTGAACTGCTGAGCTGTGATTGTTATAAGCATAGCCACCGCCTCTGCCACCTCTTCCCCTGTTGTTATAGTAGCTCCTAGAATAATAGTTGCCAGGCTGATCAAAATATTGGCTTCGACCATTCTGGTAGGCTCCACCGCCTCTACCTCCACGACCATTAGAGTAACCCCTACGACCACCCCAAGTACCAGGACCACCTCTTTGGTTCTGATATGATCTTCGAGGAACATACTGTTGCTCCTTGGGTCCTACATCCCTCAGATTGTGGTTCACATCTGCCTTTAATTTGTCGCCTTCTTGTTGAATTGCAACATCCTCTACATGATTTTCCATCTCCAGTTCATCCTGAAGAGCACAATCCTCCTATATTAAATCAAATAAATAAAATCCTAAAGCAACAAATATAATGTTACAGCTAGTTGAAAGCACCTTGTGAAGCTCCTCAGCAGCACTAAATTTATTGTCACCAGTCTCAGGTTCTTGATAATTAGATGTATCTTCTTCCTACAGCAAATGAAAATAACTTGAAAACATAATCCCAACTTGGAATCATAAAACTAACCAGTGAAGGTCAGCTCCAACTAAAATTTAAACACATGTTAATGCAGAACAAATAACATATACCCCATCAGAAACAACATACTCACTGACCTGAAAAAAGAAGCAGCCCTAAACAACAAACATCATGTCCTAAGACAGGTTAAGGGAAGGAAAACTAAGAGACATCATATTCAAGTCATGCAATTCCTACCTATCAATTCATTCCTACTTCATCTCTGTAAGCATCACCTAGTAACACCGAGCCCGAGGCAGAGAGAACTAGCTAACATAAGATCCTTTATTCTCAAGACAAATATTATTTATTGGTCTGTATCTGAAGAATCATTAAAATACCATGCAAATTCATCCAGACACGTTAAAATGGGCACATCAAAATTCTCATTAAGCAAATTTAATTTCTCACAGCTTCCTGTGACAAACTGAAAGAGAAAAATTAAGACAACCCTCTGTTTCTTTCAGCTTTCCCTCTCAACATCTTGAATGCTTTAGGCCGTTCTAGTTTCAGTTTTGTGTTCCATTAGTCTATTTTTAAGCCAAGGCATGAATCCATCCTACACAAACCAAACAGCTATTCAAAATCTTTCAGTTTCTCCATGTGATATTGAAATGAAACCATGTCATCATTTCTTTCAGCTAAATAAACAGCCTCACCAAAGAAATTGGCCATCTATTCTTTCAGAGTCAACTTCTGAATTTGCAACTATTGAAGTCAAATTTGTTGACCAATACTTCTTTCTGAAAAAAATCCTACATAATCTTTGCCAAATTCTTCTTATATCAAACGTGCCTGCTTAGAACCAAATTTCACCTACCTAAAGTACAGCATGCCTCCTGAGACTGTTCTAACGGTGACCACCAAGCAAAAAGTAACAAAGAAGCAATAGAAATTGAAAGTATTTGAAGCAAAGGGAAAATTATATCAATGAATTCAATCAAGTATGATGTCAAATCCAACAATCAGCTGCAAGGAACGAATAAATAACAAAGATAACCAAGCATTCCATTCCTCCTTAAGGTATACATGAAACAAATATTTATAAATATATATATATTTATATATATTTGTTTCATGTATAATTCACTTATGGTCAACCTCCAAGGACAAAGAGGGATATTAGTATAGACAAAGAGATGATATAAATTAGCAAGAATTCTTATTGCGACAAACAAAGAGGGATATTAGTATAGAGAAAGGCTTAATGCTAGAGAATTAATGTTCACAATGCAACAAATAAATGATGTAAAATAACAAAATACCCAAGGGACTTCGGGGCAACCTCTGCCAACTAAAAAATAGGACATATACACAGGTACAAAGAAGTCAATGGAAAACTAGCAAGATAACATTGATTCTCATAGGTATTTGCATGCAGCCAAAGTCCAGAGAATTAATCAGTCTTAAACAATCCCCATGAGTAGAAAACTCTTCTTAATTCTCATCATCATATTCTCTGAGTGTAAGCTTTTATCTATATTTTTGGATTGGTTCAAGTCGACTTTGGAACCAGGAAGTAGAATGCTAGAACTCTATGAATATTTTGGCACTTCTTTCGATTAATAACATATATTCTGAGAGATTTTTGAGTAATTGTCTGCGTAGTTGTTAAGTTGCTCGATCTTAGGCATCATGTCCAAGGAAACTAGAAGTAATGTCTAGAACCACTTTACACTTTTGCTCCTATTTAACTTGGTCCCAGCACTAAGAACTCAAAAACCAGAGTCCAGACCGGTAATCAACATTGAATCAGTACCAACACCTTCTTATAATCCTATCCTAGCTTGCACCAATTGGCCATTACATACAACCTTTGATCAAGGGTTACTATCTATTTAGCTCTCCTCAATATATGACACCAACAAGTACATACACCTTACAAGAATTTCAAATAATTCATCCATCCAATACCAACCCTCTACAAGTTCAATTTGGCCCCCATAATTTCCTATTTTATTTGCTTTTAGTTAACCATGTAACTCAGTCTCCAAATGCTTCCTATTTAGCTTTCTAACATCAAGTTTCATCATTAACAACCCTCTCCCTCCTTAGCAAAAGGGAGAACAATGTATGAAGTGGATTTGAATTCTCATTTCTGTTCATATCTTTATGCATAAGAGAGAAAAAAAAAGAGAATTGATAGAGTTCAATAATGTTGATGTCTAAAGGATCTTGCAACCGCTGCGAATAATTAATATTTTCCTTCTCTTGGAAAGTACAAATGATCTAGTTTCAGACAACACCAAAAAACCAATGATATTTGCCAATACATAATGATAGATAGCTAACAGACACAATCATTCACTGTTCAATCTTTAATCTGCTAAAGCACACTGGTACAAAATTTCTTTCTAACATACTGGTTAAGTCTAGTAAAGGTTATGTAGTCTATTTCAGACTTTTGTGATTACTAGAATATAGACAGAAAGTCAAATTCTATGGCAGGGTAAAGATAGAAGGACAGATAAAATTGATAGAAACAACAAATAGCTACAATGGTAGAACGTTAGAAATTCTACAGGGCAAGGTGATATTACCCTCGTACGTACAGATGAATATCCTCAAACTCTCTCATAGCAAAGCAGTAACCCTGACTTAACACTATACAGAAATAAATAAATACAGTAGTAGGTTGCGGGCATAATTAGACTGAAATGTAAAAGTTTGTTTTTCCAATTTCTAGTTATTATTAATTTATACAAACACCTTGAGAATTCTCTTATTTCTTCCCCCCCCCCCCCCCACCCCCTAGCCACACTAGGCTGTGATATAGCTGAAAGGCAAGAGCTCAATGTATTGCATCGAACCAAACAAATTAACAATCATTTCAATAATGGTAAAAGTATAGAAACAAAAGGGAAGCCAAGATTTTTATATTAAAACATATATCAGAAACAAAATGCAACGTTAAATCCACTAACCAAACTCTTCAATCCTTTTCTTAACTAAAACAAAGTTAATACCTTCTGCTGGTACTGCCCGCTTGAATCTTCCACCTGAACAGGCATAGAAATGGGCGCAGCGTGCACTGGAACCTGGAAAGAGGTATACGTCCCAGCAGCAGCAGCCACTTCAACAGGAGCCTTCATCTCCGGCGTAGTTGTAATATAATCCGAAGCCATAATCTTGTTAAGTCTCTCTCTCAACTCAGCATCTGCAACAAAAAGAACTGCCAAGTCAGAAAATCCAGAAATTTAACGATAAATAAACCCCACGAAATAATTAGAGTGATTTATTACAGGAAACATCGGCATTGGCGTCAATGGGCTGGTCAGAGTTAGAAAGCCAAAGCTTTGCATGGTGGATGCAGCGGTGCAAAGCGTTCTTATGAGACAAACTGGAATCGGCAGGCCGTGAAGTCAATAGTCCACTTAGCGTCGAAACCAAATCCAAATCTTTCTCACTAAGAAGATCGGTAGCTTCATCGGTGACATAATCATAAGTCAGGCAACAGCCTCTCTCGTGAGTCCTAGTCAATATGATCGAAGTAAAATCATTCTGAGACTTGACATCGAACAACGACCCGAAATAGAGCAGATAGAGGAGATCCTCAACGGCATGATCGGGCTCACTCGGCTGTAGTTCTTGGACTTCAGTCTTGTCTCGTTGGGCTTCTGAGGTTGTTTCTTCCGGTGAAATGGTTTGACGCTGCAAGGCGAGTGAGATTTCTTCGTAGAAGGCGGATGAGAGAGGCTGGCGAAGCTTCTCGAGTTCATCGATTAGGGCGGAGACAGAGGGTTTGGAACGGAGGACTTCTTCTTGTTCTTTGTTTAAGGTTTTGCCTTGGGAGACGGATTCTTCCATCTGGAGGATGCGGTTGTATTTCTTGCGTAGGGCACGGATGCGTTTGTTGATGAGGCTAAGGACGGGGCCGTCCGAAGAAGTAGTGGTTGTTGCGTCGGAGGAAACTGTTGTTGCTGCGGCGGCCGCCATTTGAGGGGTTGTTGTTGTTGGTAGTTGTGGGTGATCGGAGTTCGGGTAGAACACCACCGAAGAGGTGTTGGTGGTGGGGAAATAGGGGGCTATATAGAAAGAGCGGCCGGATGAAGGATTTTAGGAGAAAAAAAGGGTGGTACGAAGTAAAAGGTGTTAACGTGGGTTGGATTCAATTTGCTTTGTTTATTGGTAGAGTTAGGACCGTGAAAGATATATTAAAAATCATTAGTTATTTAGATTCAATTAGAATAAAATTTAAATTTGATTTAAATATTATCGAATTGAGTTAGAATTTAAATAATTTAATTTATTGATTGAGTCAAATTCAAGTAATTTAATATCTTATTCGAGTGATTCGTAAATTTAATCAAAATTTTTTATTTAAATATATATTTATTATTTTAATTAAAATTTATAATTTTACTTTTAAATATATATATATATAAAACTTTAAACTCATTTGCTTTTTTTTTTTTCACTCTCCTTCATCGATGCCTCTTTTATTTCTTTTCTCATATCATCTTAGTAGCCACTTTTTTCTTTTCTAGCATTTTTCTTTCATGCTTCGTTTCAACATAGCTTGTCTGTAAATTTAACATGTTGTATCCACATGCCTACCCCTACCATTGATCAACAATAGTTTATGGTCAAATTCAGGTAAAAAAAATTTCTTTCCTAATTTTGGTGTCTTTGTTTTTATCTGATTTATTCCATTTACTGTCCTTTTACTCTTTTAGTAAATCTGTTTTGCTAGGTATGTTGGATCCACTAGTTTATTCATCCTTCAACTCCCACCGTTTAAGGTTAGATCATCACATTTTTCACTCTTTCTAGTTTTTTTATTTTTTCTTTGCCTATAAATATATTGTTTTTCAATTCTAATTAGCTAGAAAAGACTTGGGTTTGTGTTAATTTTAGATGCAAAGTTGCTGATTTCTTCAACAAATTTGATGTATGCCCCAACCTTTAAACATTCACTAAAATTATTTGCTGTGGTAACTGTCAAAGCTTATTGGCTCTGCAGGTATGGGGCTTAAGTTAAAAAGCTTAAAAAAAGAGAAAGCATGCTGTAAATTATGAAGAACATATTTTTATTAGTTAATGAGTTTTATCGAGCAAGCTCAGCTCATGTTTTATCTTAAGTCAAGCTCGAGATAAATAAATAGAATTCGATCGAGCTCACACTGAGTTTTAAGTTTTAATTTTCAAGTTGAGCTCGAGCTTGAGTATTATAGTGTACTAATTCAGCTCGACTCAATTACACCCTTAGAATGAGTGAGTGAGAGACTTGGATAATTGGGAATGTTAGTAAATGTGTGAAAATGACATCCTGATATGCATTTTTTTTAGTTTTTTTTCCCAAACTAAGTTATTTTATAATTTTATTTCCTTAATTGGTGTACTATTAAACTTTATTTCTAAAAGAAGGTAATATTATGCAACTAAATTCCAAAACAATTCTAAGTCATTTCTTCCTTTAATCCATATCATTCTTCTTCTTCCAATCTTTTTTTTTTCTAACTCCTTGAACTTTGATAGGTCTGTGATTATATTGAATGGTTCTTTTTCACATGATTTTTTTGGATGGTTGTGAAAGTATGGAATCATCATTTACCAAATTCTACGTCCATTTCATCAGACCCAAAAAAATGCTTTACAAATTTTATTTTGTAAACTCTCTTATCTCCTAACTTTTTCATTTCTTTGTTTAATTTTTTGGTTTTAATTTTGAATTTGCCCATTCTCTCTCTTATATGTTGTAGTTTGAGGGTTTTTTTTTTTTTTGGTTATCAAGAAGTCTCTTATGATTTATTTGTTGGTGTTTGGTGTGCTATGAGATCCCTCCCTTTTTTCCCTTACCTCTCTCACATCTCTCTTTAAATTTAGGTTTGGTTTCTAGATGAGGCTTCTAAATGCACTGCAAAAACTTTTGTATACACTTCATAAATATTTTTTTCAAAAATACCCACATATCAAATACTAAATTTGGGCTTTAGGAAATGATAAAAACACCCTTAATATCTTATACATCCATTTCTTCTTCTTTTTCCTCCTTTTTTCTTCTTCATTCTTCATTCGTCCTTTTTCATCCCTCTTTTTCATATACTAAACTCTAAATCTTTAAAACTAAAACCCAATGTTTAAAATTTTAGTTAAATCCTACAAATCGTGTAAGAATGGATTCAGAAATGAGAAACAACAATGGGGGAAAAGAGCTTGACGATGTAAGGAAACAAAACCCAACCGAGTTTGAATTTTAGCAATTTTTAAAAATTTATTTTCGAGAATTACACTATATTCTTATAAACATATTTTTGAGAATTATATTGTATTTTCATAAATAGATTTTTGAAAATATAATGTAATTATCAAAAACTCGTTTTGAGAATAATTTTATCTCAAAAATTCATTTTCGAGAATTATTTTAATTCTTAAAAACTCATTTTCGAGAATTATTTTAATTTTTAAAAATTAATTTTTGAGAATGTAATATAATTTTTTCCAATCTTTATATTTCTTTTAATAATATTTTTTTAACATATTGTGAAATGTAAATCAATTTGGAAATTGCACCGATAAAGTAGAATTAATCACCACACAACTTAGATACTAGATATGATTGCATCGATTTATTTATTATAGAAAAGGTAAGATTATATTTTTAAGATTTAGAGTTATTGGAAGGCATAAAAGCATTGAATGTTAGTTTGTATATACATAATAAGTTAAAAATGTTTTGTAGGTGTTTTGTAGTAAAAAAACTTTGATTTCATGGGTTAAACATGTTGGAAAAGAACAAGGTTTCATGATAGTGATTAAAAACTTTGAGGTGGGAGGCTTGAGGAAATCTAGAACAAAATTGGCATGTGAATGAGTTGAAAATACAAACAGTTTAAGAATAAGGGCAATGTAGAAGAAAAAAAAAGTAAGAGAACGAAAACAAAAAAGTGTGATTGCCTATTTGAGTTATATGGGATTAATTTGGAAACAAATGATGAATGGGGCTTGAAAGTAGTCTGTGGAATTCACAATCATCTACCAACACAATAATTAAAAAGACATTCATATGCAGGTCGATTAACTGAAAAAAAAAGGATTAGTTGCTGATATCTCAAACAGTTGGTTAGACCTAAAAATATATAGTTCACCATAAAACAATATGATGAGAAGAATGTCAATGCTATAAAGACAATATACAATGAATATAAAAAACACAAATATGTTAAGAAAGCTAATAGATCACAAATGCAACTATTGATGAAGAAGTTAATAGATTATAAATACCTGGAGTGGCATAGGTATAATGAGTCAAATGATTGTGTGAAATACTTATTTTGGGCTCATCCTACTAGTTTAAAGTTATTGTAAGCCTTCCTATCAATCATGATTATGGATTGCACTTATAAAACAAATAGGTACCATATGCCATTGCTTGAAATTATTGGTGTGACTTCCACTAAGATGACATTTTTTGTTGCATTTGTGTATATGGAGGCTGAATATGTTGAGAATTACATTTGAACATTAGATAAGTTAAAATATTTGATGCTTGTTAGTAAATTTTCTATTGTCATTGTTACTAATAAAAAGTTGGCATTGATGAATGCTACAAAGGTAGTGTTTCCAAGCACGATCAATATTTTTTGTATATTGCATATCAATAGATATGTGTTTACGAATTATAAGAAGTTTTTAAGTGAAAAGAGAAATGGAAGGCATTCATGTCTGGTTAGAGTGTACTAATGTATTCATCTACTTATAATGAGTATGAAAAGCATCTGAACTCATTAGAAATTAGTTACCAAACTTATCTAAGTGTATTAAAATATATGAAAGATTGGTGATTGACAAAGTATAAGGACAGATTTATTACAACTTAGACGAATAAAATAATGCACTTTAGCAATGTTATAACAAATAGGTTATGATTTATGTTACTAAGATTATTTATGGTTTTTAATGATTCATAGCAAATCGTTAATATACCTTTATTATTTCTTTTAAGGCCGAGAGTGCATATTTGAAATTAAACAGGCACTCCTAGATCATTGTAAGGAGATTTTGATTCACCATAAAAGATAGTCAATGTACTTATTGAGCTCTAACATATAAAGATCAAAGCTTCATTTAAATGAAGTCTTACCATTGTGTAGCATAATTTCAAGCCTTCATAGTTTAAAAGGTTGCAAGGTTTGGTATCTACACTGAATATGATATTGATGGAAGTCAAGTAAGCTAATCATGTTGGGATTGGTGCACATATTTATGGTTATGTGATTAGAAGCACATATAGATTACCTTGTCCTCATGAAGTTGCAAAGCATATAAGAATGGAAAGTCTAATTTCTTTATTTGAAGTGCATCCATATTGGAAAAAGTTGGATTTAATGAAAAGTAAAGATAATGCAACATCTGATGAGGTTGACCAAATCATCAAATGCTTCAATGAATGTGATAAGTTAGGTAAGTTGGCCATGGAAAAAAAGTTGCAAGAACTTGGTTATTCATCCATAACTGTCTTGATGCCACCATTAAAGATGGCTAAGCTAAAAAGTTGTAGAGCTTTAAAAGCATATAACTCTACATGACGTAACCCATCACACTAGGAGATTGTGTTATCAGCTCAAAATATTACATTACCAGCAAGCATTGCAAACTCAAAGAAACCAACTACACAGATCGTAAAAATTCTTGTTCACTAACCCTATAGTAAATAGAAAATATGATATTTGGATAGTTTGCCTATAAAGTTACATTTGTCTATATAAAACATCATTGATGTTGAGGTCGAAGGAAATTGTGGGTTTCATGCTATTGCTAGGTTGCTTGGATTGAGATTAAATGATTAGGTATAGGTGCAACGAGATTTAATTGAAGGGCTAAATCGATTTTGAGGTGATTATTTAACTTTGTATGAATTTGTGAAGTGTGTTGAGGGGTTATTACAAATTTTATCATTTTTCAAAACTTTTGCATCATGTGAAAAGTGGATGACCTTACCTGATATGGGTAATTTGATTGCCTTTCGATATAACATTGTACTAGCCCACATCGATTTGAAACAGTGCTTGACATATCTCCCTATTAGATATGTAATTTGTACTGGTTGCACCATTGGAGCACAAATTAATTATGATTGAATTTGTTAATGATTATCATTTTATACAGGTACTATTAATTAGGGTTGTCAATTT